ACCGAAGCCAGGGATTTTTGGCCTTCGACTTGAAACCCCCGCATACTACGTAGAGAGAGAGAGAGAGAGAGAGAGAGAGAGAGATGGGTTGTTCAGAAACGACGGGTTCATGGCTGGAGAGTGCGTTGCTTCAACTCAGGAGCTCTGGGAGTGGGAATGGGGCTGGGATTGAGATAGACGACGAGGTTATATCAGGCCTCGTTTCTTACTGTGAACGCGCTCCTCCCCAAGATGCCAAGGAGTTCCTCACTGTAATTCATACCTCTCTCTCTCTTCTTTCCTTGTTACCTGAAATTGAATGCTCCTTTGTTCTGTTTCTTTCACATTTTATTGTGTTTTCTTTTGGTTTATGTGTTTATCAAACGTGATCGGTTGTCGGGGTGATCTCGTATTTGCGTTTTCATCTTTTTTGGGTCGTGTGTTTACTTGATGTCAATGGTTATTTCTTTATTGGGATGATGTCGTTTTGGGGTTTTCTGGCGTTTTCCTTACCCTGCAGAAAAAAAAAACTTCAATTTAGAAATGGGGTTAGGGTGGAATCCTTGTTACTCATTTCCTCTATCTTTTCCCTATTGATTATGTCTTGCAATATAACCGAAGTAGTAATATGCAATGGCTTGGTCATCTTTGTCTTTCTTTGCGTCAGATCAAGAAGATCATCTGCACCCGAAATTTTCTTAATGGAAACCCTCTTACAGGCATTGGAGGCCATACAGTCCACTTAGAACTCTCTCTAGTTTTGGCCCCACCTCTGGGCTATCTCCCAGTTGCTTTCACCTTTTTTGCAATGGTATTTCAGCACCATATATTCGAAATATGGGACTCTTTTTGAATGGCCTTTTACAAAAAGAAATATTGATTTGGTTTGATGAATCATCTTTTCATCAGTGATATTGGTATGAACATCAAGATTGTTCCTTCTCTAGGAGTTTAGATTTATATATGCTCCTCGCCCATGGTGCTTCGACATTTGTAAATATGTAATCCTTCTATCTTCTTTCCTATTCTATAATTGCATCTCAAGTTTTATATACTTCTCTAATCACTTATAATTAATATATGTATCTAGAGATATCCCACCATCCGATCTTGACCAGATGGCTAGGAGTGAGGTGAAACCAGTTTTATAAGCTGACAAACATTGCTGGTGCCATCCTGACGTTGGTCTTAGCTCACTTCCTGCCATCTGATCTGTGGGACTTCAAAGACACATACTTATTGAGTGTACACAAGTGGAAAGGTTTCCCTATTATTAATGCCTCTGTATTTTATGTACAGACCGTGTTCTTCATCTACCTTGACCCTATTATGACTGGATATTCTGTAGACACCTCATTGATACCCTTATTGGATACTGTCAAATATTTTTTTGAAGTATCTTGCGGCAGCCACAATTATTCAAACCATTTGCTAGTATCCATGTGTCGCAGCCAGGAGTTCCATTGCTCATGTTATTGACATAATAAGAGATGAACTATTTGTACTAGTTCCTCATCATGAATGTTGGGAGTTTCTTGAGGCATATTGAATTCTAATCATTCAGTACAAATGGAGAAATGAAACTCCCTAAACAGTCCTTTGACTATTAAATAGAAAAAGACCTTTTTTAATTTCTTAATCACTAAAATGCAATATGAAATATGGCATATTACACTTAATTCGATTAGATTCTGCAAAATTTAAGGCAATTTTTGTTATCAATCTTTCTATTGTTAATTGAGGAGGGCTTATGAATGGAAAATTGGAGATGTACATGAATTGTATTGTATGCTAACCACTAAAGGAAAGCATAGGAAGGAGCGTGATTTGCCAGATACCGTTTTGCTCAAGAGATAAGAAGAAGAGTCTTTTCCTTATCAAACTAAGGTGGAGTTTACAGTTGGGGTGCCAGAATCCAGCAAGTCACACTGGAAGGCAAACAAGCAGAGGTCTTATGTGAAAAGTTATTCAGGCTTTGTACATGATGCTTTCATGTGATCGAAGTCATTTCTAATAAATTTATCAGAAGGTAGTGTGAATTGTTAAGGTCATCCTTTTTAGATGGATTTTGAGAGTCTCTAGAATTAAGATTATTCATTATTGGGGTTGGTTTAGAGTCTGGAATCTTGAGTCGGAGGTAAATTCTTTTTAATATATGATAGTTTTGATATAATTTTTTCTTTTGAATGTTTTAGGAAGGCATTAAGAGATGTAGTTTTACTCTGTATAATGTTGTGCTTCATAAATTGGACTCTCAACTTGGACCTTTTTCTATTTATTGGTAAATGACTCTCAATAATAGCCTTGATGGAATTGTTAATATGTGGTGCATTATATGCTAGTTTCGTGATATTAACTTATATGGTATCACAACTTTGCATGATATTCTACTCTAGAATCGAACAAGCATGATTATGTAGCAAAATTTTTGTCATATCATTTGTTCAGAGTTCAGGCCACCATTGTTAGGACTCTGGTCTTTCATTGCTGGATAGTTCTACATCTATGATTGAGAAATAGGAATAAGTTATGGAACAGCCGCTAACTTTGAAGATATTGGTTCATGGGGATATCCTCCTTACTCAACTTTTGAATGCCCTTGATATACACTCTTTAGATAGACAAATAACCTTATATTTCTTTATGATTGGTACATTGAATACTACTACTTCATAGGAAATTTGGGGCAACTTTGGTTATCTTTCGTTTTGTTGATTATTAAGGAGTGTTTATATCAGAAAAATACGAGATGTTTGTGAATTGTATTGTATGCTAATCTTTTGGTCTAATAAGGATGAAGACCTTAAAATTTCGCTTAAATCTTCCCAAGCCCGGGTAAAGGAGGTGGGTTGCATTAGGTAGACAGCCAACGTAAACTTTGCTCTATCTTATCATGAATTCTGGACCTATGTTAGTATGTTATGTTTTATTGTTGGTGTGACCCTTGATAAAGAAGAATGGAGGAACAAGATTCATGTAACCGATCCCAAATAATTGGGATAAGACTTGGATGATGATGTATTGAATGCCAATCTTTAAAGGAAAGCACACGAAGCAACATGATTTATGTGGATACAATTTTACTCGAGATAAAAAGGGGAAAATTTTACTTGTCAAGCTAAAGTGGAGTTTTCAGTTGTGAGTGCTGGAATCTTGCAAGCACATTGGAAATCAATCAAGCGGAATTGTGAGAAATGTTATTTGTTATTTGTTTTTTGTACATGATGTTTTTTTTTAAGTAAAATTGATTGTATTAATAAGTACTGTATAATTTGCAAAAGGCTGTACCTAAACAAAATGGAGACTAATTGTACAAAAACCAAAAGCGAAAGAAGAAAACCAAGTGGAAAATCCCCCATGACATTACAAGAGAGGGCTGAAGGCCAGTAATCTTGCCCTTACCATGATGGGAATCCAATTGCGTGTGATTGTTGTATACAATTGAAGCCTGGTTTTCGGGAGCGGGAGCTGGTGCAAGAGCTCGGGTAGACCCATGGTTGAAGCTTCTTGCCCTTACCGGATTGTTTTTGAGTGAAGTTGACAATATATATACATATTATGCATATATGGAATCAAACAAGCATGATTTTGGAGCCGGAATTTTTTGAGTGAAGTTGACAATATTATTTATTTATTTATAAATTCTTTGATTGGTCTGACCTGTGAACTGGTCCTGACTGGTGCCTTCACTGGTTTAATCACCGGTCCGGTCTTAAGTTCCTTACAATATGTGGTTCTTTTCAAGATTGGACTCTCTATTCTGACCTTTGGCAAATGTCTCAATTCGTACATAGATGGAATTGCTATGCTGATGTGCTAGTCTATGATACCAAATTGAATGTTGTCACAGCTCTATGCATGACATTCTACTTTGGTTTCAAAGAAGTATGATTATGGAGCCAGATTGTTTATTAGTAAATTTAACTGAATATATATATATATATATATATACCAATAACACGCCAAGATCTAACTTTACTTTTATCTTAATAACATTGAAAATACTGTTACTTTTATCTTAATAACATTGAAAATACTGTAGTATAGTCTAGTAGAGAACGTAATAGTGTAGTATAGTATAAAAAGCAGCACAGAATGATGATAAGAGAAATTACAGAGATGTCTACTATAATCCAAGTAGTATGAATACTGTTTCGAATTTTTATGCTAAAAATTAATTTAAATTGCATATAAACAAGCTTTATTTCACAGAGTTCAAATAGGTACAGGAACAAAGATGACTTATAACAAATCACTTACAATTTACAAATGCAGTAACTTGAAAAGAGTGCCCATTCGTCCGGACAGAACGAAGGTACTTTATGCAAATTACAATCACACATCTGTGTACATCGTATAAACAAAAGAAGTATGAAAAGATCTTACTCGATAAAGGCTTGCCTCAGAGAAGAGAAGTCGGCAGAGCTTTCAGGAGAATGCTTTGAGTAAGTAGGGAAGAGAGAGGAGATTGCAGAGAAGAGATCGCAGAGATGGAGATTTCGACCTGTTTTTGAATGAAGGTTTTGAGGGATTTTTATAGAGGAGTGGAGGAGCTGAGGTGGAAGATTCGATGAAGCTGAAAGAGAAAGGGAGGAGACATAAAGTCGAGATAAACGCGGAGAAGCTGAGGTGGAAGATTCGATGAAGATAAGAGAGGTGACGTAAAGTCGAGATAAAAGGATAAAAAGAAGGGATGTGACGTAAAGTAGGAAAGATGCGATAGAAAAAGAAGAGAAGACGTAAAACCAAAAGCTGGACTTGACATAAAGTAAAAAAGCAAAGGTATCTTGCGCAGTGTCTTTTGTCGGTCATTGATAGCTTTTTTGTCGTTTTCTTGTACGGCGGCATTTCTTTTGCGGTGGTCGGAGCTTCTTTTGTGGTGAGCTTTCTGACAACATCTCTTGAGGTGGCAGGAGCATCTTACTTTTGAAAATCTTTATACAGTAAGTCGAAAATCTTTGTACAGGAAATCTTTGTACAAGATATGGACAAGCTTTTGTACAGAAACTTAGTGGCTTTATTCGGGCCTTTGGCTGAACTCATCTTCTATTTGTTCGGGTTGAGAGGTAGCATCTGAAGCTTCTTCTTCAATTATTTTTAACAGTTGGGTTTCAAGTTCTTCTTTTGTAGCTCTTGGGTTTTGCTTACGCATTTGTCTGATATATTCGGCGAATTTATTTGGGTCAAATTCAGGAGTATTATTAGTCTGATACTCAGTAGGAGAAGGAGGTATTCGTTTCAGTCTAATTGAGTTTGGATCCATACTGAATACATCCCACCATTTGACAAATATTCGTTTTCCCAATCGAGGGATATACTCATAATTATTGCTGGTATTTTCAGAGAGGCCATATTCTCATTTGAGAATCCAAGGTATTTGGTGTATTGCCATAACGTCCATTTGGATTCTCAAATGGGAATATGATCTCTGTGAAAATACCAGCAATAATTATGAGTATATCTCTCGATTGGAAAAACGAATATTTGTCAAATGGTGAGATGTATTCAGTATGCATCCAAACTCAATTAGACTGAAACGAATACCTCCTTCTCCTACTGAGTATCAGACTAATAATACTCCTGAATTTGACCCAAATAAATTCGCCGAATATATCAGACAAATGCGTAAACAAAACCCAAGAGCTACGAAAGAAGAACTTGAAACCCAACTGTTAAGAATAATTGAAGAAGAAGCTTCAGATGCTACCTCTCAGCCCGAACAGATAGAAGATGAGTTCAGCCAAAGGCCCGAATAAAGCCACTAAGTTTCTATACAAAAGCTTGTCCATATCTTGTACAAAGATTTTCGACTTCCTGTATAAAGATTTTCAAAAGTAAGATGCTCCTGCCACCTCAAGAGATGCTGTCACCTAAAAGAAAGCTCACAGCAAAAGAAGCTCCGGCCACCGCAAAAGAAATGCCGCCATACAAGAAAACGACAAAAAAGCTATCAATGATCGACAAAAGACACTGCGCAAGATACCTTTGCTTTTTTACTTTATGTCAAGTCCAGCTTTTGGTTTTACGTCTTCTCTTCTTTTTCTATCGCATCTTTCCTACTTTACGTCACATCCCTTCTTTTTATCCTTTTATCTCGACTTTCCGTCACCTCTCTTATCTTCATCGCATCTTCCACCTCAGCTTCTCCGCGTTTATCTCGACTTTATGTCACCTCCCTTTCTCTTTCAGCTTCATCGAATCTTCCACCTCAGCTCCTCCACTCCTCTATAAAAACCCCTCAAAACCTTCATTCAAAAACAGGTCGAAATCTCCATCTTTGCGATCTCTTCTCTGCAATCTCCTCTCTCTTCCCTACTTACTCAAAGCATTCTCCTGAAAGCTCTGCCGACTTCTCTTCTCTGAGGCAAGCCTTTATCCAGTAAGATCTTTTCATACTTTTTTTGTTTATACGATGTACACAGATGTGTGATTGTAATTTGCATAAAGTACCTTCGTTCTGTCCGGACGAATGGGCACTCTTTTCAAGTTACTGCATTTGTAAATTGTAAGTGATTTGTTATAAGTCATCTTTGTTCCTGTACCTATTTGAACTTTGTGAAATAAAGCTTGTTTATATGCAGTTTAAATTAATTTTTAGCATAAAAATTTGAAACAGTATTCATACTACTTGGATTATAGTAGATATCTCTGTAATTTCTCTTATCATCATTCTGTGCTGCTTTTTATACTGTACTACGCGTTTACGTTCTCTACTAAACTATACTACAGTATTTTCAATGTTATTAAGATAAAAGTAACAGTATTTTCAATGTTATTAAGATAAAAGTAACAGTATTTTCAATGTTATTAAGATAAAAGTAAAGTTAGATCTTGGCGTGTTATTGGTATCATAGATATATATATATATATATATATATATATATATATAGTAGGTAGTCGTATTCTAGTCGTACGTACGGTTAGTAGTAGTAATAATAATACGAAACTAACCTAACGTAAACGTAACGTACCTAGTTTGTTAGTACTACCTAAATTTAAA